ATTCCAAGAGGAACGCACCTGGATTACAAGAGGAACGCACCTGGATTCCAAGCGGAACGCACCTGGAGTACAAGAGGAACGCACCTGGATTCCAAGAGGAACGCACCTGGATTCCAAGAGGAACGCACCTGGATTCCAAGAGGAACGCACCTGGATTCCAAGAGGAACGCACCTGGATTCCAAGAGGAACGCTCCTGGATTCCAAGAGGAACGCACCTGGATTCCAAGGGGAACAAACCTAGATTCCAATAGGAATAACCTGGATTCCAAGATGAACCCACCTGGATTCCAAGAGGAACACACCTGGATTCCAAAAGGAACCCACCTAGATTCCAAGAGGAACGCCCCTGGATTATGGCTTCCAAGCGTTTCGTTAGCTTTAAAAACACCTCATACCTCAAAGATACCACGTGATCCCAAGATCACGTGATACAAATACCAATTGATCCGAATGTAACGTGGTCCGAATATCGGGTGACCCGAACAGCAACATGATCCAAAAACCAGCCTGATCACAATATCACGTGATCCAAAACAAGTTGTGTAAATAAAAAAAAAAAAGACAGCAGGCATCAGCAGTCCACCGTTTGACGCAAAGTCCAGACACAAACATTGATGAAAATATGTATACAACTTTTGATAATGCACGATGGATTTACGTTTTGACTGTAGTCACGTGATACAAGAAGCCCCCCTTGGTACATGTATGCACTCTTAGTACGTTCAGCCCACGTTGGTCCATTCAGTCAACCTTCGTGCATTCAGTAAACCTTGGTACATTCAATCACCCTTGGTACATTCGGTTAGCCTTGGTACATTCAGTCACCCTTGGTACATTCGGTTAGCCTTGGTACATTCAGTCACCCTTGGTACATTCGGTTAGCCTTGGTACATTCAGTCACCCTTGGTACATTCAGTCACCCTTGGTAGATTCGGTTAGCCTTGGTACATTCAGTCACCCTTGATCCATTCAGTCACCCTAGCTACGGATACATTCAGTCAACCTTGGTACATTCAGTCAACATTGGTACATTCAGTCACCCTGGGTGCGTTCAGTCACCCTTGATCCATTCAGTCACCCTAGGTACTGGTACATTCAGTCAACCTTGATCCATTCAGTCAACTCTGGTACAGGCAGTCATCCTCAAGGCAGTTAATCTCCTCAAGGACGTCAATCATCATTAGTCCATTTGGAGAACTTAATTGTACATTTGGGTTATAACGTCCAGCATTCCTTATTCCTTGCAAAGTGCGCCACACACACACACATACAGACACACATACAAATGTGTACATAGCGCATTAAGTCGAATCTTTTAAACCAAAAAAATATCTTAACGTCAGCCATGGGGAAAAATATTCTTCGTAGCCTCAAGCCATCGGTGCGAAAGTCTGGATTCATTCTCGTCTAGTTTTGGTGACGTCATGTCGTGATGATGACCGGCTCCTCCGGTAACCCGCTGGCCTGGGTTTCATCTGTGTTCACGGGCACCACTCTGTTGAGGGCGCAGGTGCCACACCAGCTCTTGGAGAGCATCAGTCGGACCTGCAGTTGAGTAGAAAGATTGAATGCTGCTGCTTGTTTTAAATTAATGTTGTAACTAATATATTATCAATATATACTTTTTTTTTTCTTAAATAGTAGCTGAAACAGGTATAACTTCCGGGGAACTAGACGCAATTTTACACAGTGCAGCAGTGTGTATGGAGAGAAAAAAAAACCCCTTATCGTTATCTTCTTAAGGTCATAATGAATGTTAGTATTTTGTATTTTACAAAAATATACATCTCTGTCTCTCTGAGTCTCTCTCTTTGTATCTTTTGCTCTCTCTCTCTCTCTCTCTCTCTCTCTCTCTCTCTCTCTCTCTCACTCTCTTTCTCTCTCTCTCTCTGTCTCTCTATCTCCTTCTCTCTCGCTCGCGATTATTACAGGTCCCATAAAGCTGAAGTACGATATCTCCACTGTTGTCTACGATCAGACATTGATTGATAGGCCTAACGGTGGGCGTATGTACATCTCTGAGGTTAATCTCCAACACAATTAAGACGACGTATGTTAACTACCTCGTTCATGAAGTTCTTGTTGAAGAAGGCGTATATGAGGGGATTCAAAAAGCTGTTGCTGAGGGCAAGGATGATGAAGAAGAAACGTAAGAGGACGTACACTTGGTTCTCATCGACTTCATCGTCCTCTACGTTACCTGATATGAAGAGTGATCAAAAATTAGAAGGTGATGATGCATTACCTGGGCTTGGGGTTGGGGGGGGGGTAAATGTGTGGAGTGAAGGTGTGTCGAGATGTTTGGAGGTGTGTTGAGATATGTGGATATGTGTTGTTGCGTTTTGATGGGTTGAGATGTGTAGAGATGGCTGCATGAGTGTGGAGATATGTGGAAGTGTGAGGAAATGTGGAGACGTGTGGAAATGTGCGTAGATTGTTGATGTATGTTGATGTGTAGTGATTTTTGGAGATATGTGAAGATGAAATGATGTGTATTAATAGTAATCACTAAATAGGTAGATTATGGAGGCATAGAAAGTAGCACATCCATCACAAATGTATCCAACCCCCAGCTCAAGTGAGTAAATAAATAAATATATATATATATATATATATATATATATATATATATATATATAAAATCAGTAGATTATATATATATATTTAAAATAGCTATTGGTTAAAGCAAACAGTAATTATCTCAGTAATTAAATATCAGTGTAGAAAATACTAGGTTCCTTATCGTGGGGGCACCAAAAACACACAGGGCACATGGGAACTTCTTGCACCAAAAACACGCAGGGCACATGGGGACTTCTGACACTGACAACACCGATTTGAGTGGGGGCGATCCCTTTGGCATTTATGCGTCTAAGTAGATACTGATGGCAACCAACAGTGGCCTTTGTTGTAAGGCGGCCGGGTGTGAGCTCAAGCTGTGCTCAATAACAGATCATTTATGTGTGGAGTGTAATGGATTATTCGCTACTTGAGTGTGCGAGCTCAATCTTTGCTCAAATAAGAGATTATTTATGAGTGGATTGCAATGGATTGTTTGCTACTTGATTGTGCGAGCTCAATCTTCGCTCATTAAGAGATTATTTATGAGTGGATTGCAATGGATTATTTGCTATACATTGCTAGGAGCAACAATTGGATAATAAAATGGATGGCGTGCCATGGATAAGAAAAATTCTACTATATACAGCTGGACAGCTCTGCGGATACTTGGTGATGTCATGAAGGCGAGGGGACTGAATGATGTCGATTGAACCGACGAGGCGTATGAATGAATGAGGCTAATCCATGGATAACGGATGAACGTAAACCTCTCACCTAGGATAAGCTTGACGGAGTCCGACACGATGTCCACCATGTAAAAGGGCAGCCAGCACAGGACGAACACGAGGATGTCGAACGCCAGGAATCGGATGACGGACCGCTTCTTCCGGACGTTGGTGGTGACGCCGATGCTGGACCCCCACAGGCGGCGCCGGATCTGCACAAAGATGTAGGTCATGGCGGCCACCGGGATGATGAACAACATCAGGATGTCGGCCAATCTATTGGGGGGGGGGGGGAAAAACAATAATGGGGAAAAATTGTTTTGTGTGGTGGGTCCTTTCCCCCCCCCCCCCCCCCCCCCGATGTATTGTGATTTGTGGATGTTTTTACAAATGCCAAGTTTATTTCACATACACCTCTCTTATATAGCATTATAAATTACTGTCTCTGTTATACAGCAACATACTTTACTGTTTCTCTATTATATAGCACACATTCATTACCTGTTTGTCACTTATATAGCACAATATTTTACCTGTTTCTCATTTATAAGCACATATAGCTTACCAGTGCACCTTATCTGTATCACTCATGCCTCACATCCCCCGACCTGTAGCCCCTATACATAAGCTTTATCTCACTCGTACCTCACCAGTAGCAACCTAATCTAACCTGCACCTCACCTATCTCAAGTACCTTTGCTTGTATTCAATCAACATATATTTTTACATATACAATAAATGTACAGAACTTTTTTTAACCACCATTACTATATCGAATCTCTCGTCATTGTGATGCGATTAAGTCCCCCCTCCCCCCTCAACCATCACCATCTCACCGACCCCTTAGACCAGTGGTTCTCAACCTGTGGGTCGCGACCCCTATGGGGTTCGAACAACCCTTACACAGGGGTCACCTAAGACCATCGGGAAAAAAACATATTTATAAAGGAGCAACGAAAATAAGTGTATGCTTAGGGGTCACCACAACATGAGGAAATGATAAAAAGGGTCGTGGCATTAGGGAGGTTGAGAACCACTGCCTTAGACCATGGCTTCGAACTGACCTAAACGGTAGATCTGCATCATCCTCCTCGACCAGTATGCTACAATATGACGTATCTGTGATGTCATGGTCGTCCGGGACCGTCCTGTTGTGTTCCGGTGTTAGCGCCTGCAGCTGGTCGGTGGCGTTGGTCTCGCTGCCGTCGGACGACCCGTCGTTGTCGGTGAAATAGTCCTGGACGAAGATCCTGGAGGCGTAGAGAAACGACCAGGTCCAGACCAGGAGGAAGGACAGAACGATGGACACGTCAGAGGGGGGCTTCCTGGCCAGGACTATCGACCTGTATCTGGTGAGGACGGTCAAGTAGGGGGGGGAGGGTTGTATTAAAAGACCAAACACGGGTTTCAACAGTGACGTAGGAAGGGGGAGTGGAAAAGGGGGGTACTATCGACCTGTATCTGGTGAGGACGGTCAAGTAGGGGGGGGAGGGTTGTATTAAAAGACCAAACACGGGTTTCAACAGTGACGTAGGAAGGGGGAGTGGAAAAGGGGGGGGGGGCGATTAGCCCCGGGTGGCAATTTTTTTCTTTATATCAAGGGGCTAGCATTTCGGCCTACTGCAGAGGTTTTTTTTGTGTGTAAAGGAAAGGGTCGGCAGCAATCTTCGCCCCCCCCCCCACACCCTTGGGGTGGCACAAACACTTGCTGCGCAATTGGGTATAAGATATATTACACAAAAGAGACAGATGAGATATGGTAACACTCTAGATACAGAGTATGATGCTTTAAAAAAACAACAACATTTCTCAGACAGGTTTTCGGGAAAGCTAACAATAAAATCTCCCAGGACAAGCATCCCCCCCCCTTCCACTGTGGCGAATAGTCGTCTAGGGGTAGGCCCCCCCTCCGTACGGCCTCAGAAAACTACATCTAAGTCTACAACTTCGTATCAGTCTCGCTTCAAAGAACTTCACGCGATGGTTTGTATCAAACGAATGGTCTTGAATTATTTACGCACTAAACAGAAACCGCGTTCACACCATGAGAGTGGAAACTTCTGCCCACCATCCAAGGTGTACCCAGCTGTTAACACCATGAGAATGGAAACTTCTGCCCACCATCCAAGGTGTACCCAGCTGTTAACACCATGAGAATGGAAACTTCTGCCCACCATCCAAGGTGTGCCCAGCTGTTCACACCATGAGAATGGAAACTTCTGCCCACCATCCAAGGTGTAGCCAGCTGTTCACACCATGAGAATGGAAACTTCTGCCCACCATCCAAGGTGTACCCAGCTGTTCACATCATGAGAGTGGAAACTTCTGCCCACCATCCAAGGTGTACCCAGCTGTTCACACCATGAGAGTGGAAACTTCTGCCCACCATCCAAGGTGTACCCAGCTCAACCAAAACCACCCACTCAATCCCACCCCGTGCAGTATAAACGATCATTCTTTTCCCACGCACAATGATCGCTTGGAACCAGTGCCGCTGTGGACTCGACTTCGGTCGAAGGCTTCAAGGGTGCCCTGGCATCTGCTAGGAGCTGGTAGGATGGAACCATCGCTTCCCCAAATCCACTGCACATCTGCCCGGTATGTGGATGCAGGAACGAGCACTACCAGGACCAGAAGAACCTTAAAGAATGACTTCTTTTCGCTCATAACAAAATCTATCGCGCCACACCGGAGATGCGTCGTAGCTCCTTCGTGGCTTAGTGAACGCGGCGCGATGCATGGGGGACGTTCCAAAACCCCCCCCCCCCCCCTTTCAAATACTGATGGACGCCCTCCCCCTTTAAAAAAGGCAGTATCGCTCACTGACAAAAATCATCAAGACAGACACAAAACAGGATCACGTGATCTGACCGTGACATTGAGACATAATGATATTGAAACAATTCTGTGCATTTTTAATTTTTTTTAACAAGCAAGTCCTAGTGGTGTTTATAGTTTAGTAACACAAAGTGTTTTCTGATGAAGTTAAAGTGTATGGCTGCAGCAACGAGCACTACCAGAACCAGAAGAACTTCTTCGTCCTACCAAATTATGGACTTCTTGGGAATCGACATTGAAGAAACTTTGGCCTCGAGATTATGGAAGTATAATGGTGTGGATTAATTTTTTCGCTAAAGAAGAGTGTTCATACATGTACACTTATTTATGTATGTTGGTCTAGAGGTGGGTACTTAGCTCTTTATTATAAGATGACTGTACTACTCTATTTCTATAATATATTTGATGTGTTTCATTGCTTTCGCCCTCGTGAGTACATCTTATGTGTACATTAGTTTACACAGAGTTCTTGTTAAAGTGGTGTGTTTTCCTCTGTACATAAATTTGTACTGAAAGGTAACCTCGTTTAGTTTCACAGGGTGTTCATAGCTATCAGCGTTAATTTTTCTTACAATTAGTGTACCGAGCAGGTGTTACAATCAAGGTGGGTGCGTACCTGTCAATGCTCACACAGAGGAGTGAGTACACGCTGGCTGTCACACACGCCAACTCGATAAACGGTGGCACGACGCACGCTGCACGACTGGCATCTGTCAAAACAGAAAATAAGCGTGAATCCACGAATGTGAAGATCAACGCTGTAGGTAATCATATTTGGGGATTCACTAAGTCAATAACTAATGTACTTACAAAAATATCCACATGTCATTATCCCCATGTCATTATCCACATGTCATTATCCACATGTCATTTATCCAGCTGTCAATAGCCACATATCAATATCCACATGTCATTTAGCCAGCTGTCAATAGCCACATGTCAATATCCACATGTCATTATCCACATGTCATTATCCACATGTCATTATACACATGTCATTATACACATGTCATTATACACATGTCATTATCCACATGTCATTATCCACATGTCATTATCCACATGTCATTATCCACATGTCATTATCCACATGTCATTATCCACATGTCATTTATCCAGCTGCCAATAGCCACATGTCAATATCCACATGTCATTATCCACATGTCATTATCCACATGTCCTTATCCACATGTCCTTAGCCACATGTCCTTAGCCACATGTCCTTAGCCACATGTCCTTAGCCACATGTCCTTAGCCACATGTCCTTAGCCACATGTCCTTAGTCACATGTCAATAGCCACATATCCTGTGCACTACAAAGAACACAACTGCCGGTAGTGGTAAATTATTGTCAACCATCGCGAGTTTTAGCCCCCTTGTTGCTTCCAGTTCCCCCCCACCCCACCCAGAGGGCGCCATAAGTTAAATTATAACAAGTGCATTGCGGAATTGTGAATAATCTCTGAATTTCTTTTTTACCACTTCGCGGGGCCCCTGTGCGAGGAAGCCCTGGCCTTCAAGGCACCGAGGCGCACAGTTTGGACATACCTGTTGGTCTTATCCTATAATCAACGCAGAGAATTATTTAATGCTCTACAACAGCGGTTCTCAACCTGTGGGCTGCGAACCCTCTAAGGGCCGAACGACCCTGACAACGGGGTCGCCTAAGACCAACGCAAAACACATATTTATTAAGTGGCAACGAAACTAATTGTATGGTCAGGGGTCAACCCGACATGAGGAACTATATTGAAAGGTCGAGGGATTAGGAAGGTTGAGAACCACTGCTCTTTACGAAATGCGTTTTTTTTTCTTTTTCTTTTTGTGAAAAGTCTTCCTTTTTATTACCCCCACATCAATAATATCCTGATTGCCTCTTTAGGATACTTGGGTCTACTGGAGACGTGATGACGAATCTCGTTCTACTTTGAACAGAATTAATGAGATAATTAACATATAATTGAGTTGTTTACTTTATCAATGCGCCCTTTGTGGGGGGGGGGGGGTCGCAGTGACACGGACAGGGCGTGGATTTTCAGATGTAGACTTGTTAGTGGAGTTAGATTTGACCTGTTTTTTTTTATGCCGTCGTCTCGGCTGGTGGTGTCCAGTCTTATGGTGTCTCGTCTGGGAGTGTCCAGTCTCATGCTGTTTCGTCTGGGGGGTGTCCAGTCTTACAGGTGTCTCGTCTCCCGGTGTCCAGTCTTACGTGTGTTTCGTCTGGTGGTGTCCAGTCTTACGTGTGTCTCGTCTGGTGGTGTCCATTCTTACAGGTGTCTCGTCTGGTGGTGTCCAGTCTTACGTGTGTTTCGTCTGGTGGTGTCCAGTCTTACGTGTGTCTCGTCTGGTGGTGTCCATTCTTACAGGTGTCTCGTCTGGTGGTGTCCAGTCTTACTGTGTTTCGTCTGGTGGTGTTCAGTCTTACAGGTGTCTCGTCTGGTGATGTCCAATCTTACAGGTGTCTCGTCTGGTAGTGTCCAGTCTTATGGTGTCTCGTCTGGTGGTGTCCAGTCTTACGGTGTCTCGGCTGGGAGTGTCCAGTCTTACGTGTGTCTCGTCTGGTGGTGTCCAGTCTTACGTGTGTCTCGTCTGGTGGTGTCCATTCTTACGTGTGGCTCGTCTGCTGGTGTCCAGTCTTACAGGTGTCTCGTCTGGTGGTGTCCAGTTTACAGGTGTCTCGTCTGGTGGTGTCCAGTCTTACGTGTGTCTCGTCTGGTGGTGTCCAGTCTTACAGGTGTCTCGTCTGGTGGTGTCCAGTCTTACAGGTGTCTCGTCTGGTGGTGTCCAGTCATATGGTGTCTCGTCTGGGAGTGTCCAGTCTCATGCTGTTTCGTCTGGGGGTGTCCAGTCTTATGGTGTCTTGTCTGATGATGTCTTGTATGAATATGTCTCGTCTGGTGGTGTACAGGCTTATGGTGTCTACTCTGGTGATGTCTTGCATGATGGTGTCTCGTTTCATGCTTTCTCGTCTGGTGGTGTCCAGTTTCATGCTTTCTCGTCTGGCGGTGTCCAGTCTTATGGTGTCTCGTCTGGTGATGTCCAGTCTTATGGTGTCTCTTCTGATGACGTCTTGTAGGAATACATCTCGTCTGGTGATGTCCAGTCTTTTGGTATCTAGTTTGATGAGATCTCTCATGACGGTGGCTGGTCTGATGGAGTTTAGTTTGATGGTGTCTTTTGTGATGCTAGCCCGACATTTTACGTAGTGATCTGATACCAAAAAATGCGCAACATTTTACTGTGCGTCTTAGTACTAAAGATGAAGTGATGCAGTGGAAGAAAAACACTAAAGTCTCCATTTCTGCAACGCTTAAAAAGAAAATTAAGCTGGAGTTTACTTGTTGCTTCTTGTTCAAATAGCGTTCTATTAAATTGCTCTTTTACATTGTTCTGTTAAATTGTCCTGTTAATGTGTCCTTTTAAATTGGCCTGTTCAATTGTCCTGTTACATTGTTATGTTAAATTGTTATGTTTAATTGTTCCGTTCAAATTTTTCTGTTACATTGTTCCATTAAATTGTTCCGTTAAGTTGTTCAGTTAAATTGTTCCTTTAAATTGTTCCGTTAAATTTTTCTGTTAAATTGTTCCATTAAATTGTTCCGTTAAATTGTTCTGTGAAATTGTTATGTTGCATTGTCATGTTAAATTGTCCTGTAACATTGTTCCGTTTCAGGTTAAAATTTAGCAATTTTCATGTTTCACTCACTGGCCAGGTAGTCGATGTCGAGCTTGTGCACCAAGGTCAAGGACACGACGACCACGCCCACCAAGAGGTCAGCGACGGACAGCGACAGGAAAAAGTAGCTCGTCGACGTGTGAAGACCTGAAATGAAATTTGGAGGAAGTTGTAAGACTCGTTTTTTTAAATATATATATTTTTTTAAAATCAAACAGATATCCCAGTGGCGCGCAGCAATGGGACAAAAAAGAAAAAAAGGTCAGATGCTCAAGAACAAACATAGATCAGGTGAATAGCGCGGAAATGATGAGTGAGATATGAATCAATTACAGCCGAACCCGCTTATCTCGACCTCGGCTAACTCGCCAACCCTGTCAGGTCGACTTTTTTTTTTGTTGAAGTGGCATCGCCAAATTCTCTCTTATTTTTTGTCTTAGCATTTTCTCCTCGGCTATCTCGATCGTCGGTTATCTCGACGCTTTTTTGGCAAACCCCCTGAGGCCGAGGACATAACCGATCTCTACTGTATTGATGTCATGCTTGTCCCGCTCGCCGTAAGGCGTCATAACTTCTAACATAAGACATCCAACATCAAACATCCAACATCAAACATCTAACAGCAATCATCATAAATCTTATATCGAACATCCAACATCTGACATCAAATATATAAAAAAAAACAAAAAACAACCATCTGACACCAATGTACACAAGGAGAGGATGACCTCGGCTCACCTGGCCTGACGATGACGATGCAGATGACAGCGGCGTTGCTGAGGGAGCACGCCAGAATGATGAGGATGTAGAAGGCGATGATGACGTCATCGGGTATGAACAGATTGTCGCCGTCCATTGAGAGGGACATCTTCAGCTGGGGAAACGGAGACATGTGACGTTATGCGATTGTCTACTTGGCAGCTCATCATGGTTGCGGCCCCTGGAATGTTCACTACACAAACAACTAAACAAAAGATGAACTTCATACGGTGAATATAACCCCAACATTTAACCATCAATTAAACAGCACCCCTAGAACAGAGATTTTTCGTATAAATCATTTATATGCCTTGTTTATTAGTTTATTTCATGTAAATAGCCCCAATGCCCCACCCCGCTTTTACACCGCAGAGTTATTTCACCAACTATTTCAGAAAAGCAAAAGAAAATAGTACGCACCAAACGCACTTTAGAATCTCATTTAGCGCAGTTGTCGGGGATTTCCGTCACCTTCCCTTTGAAAAAAAACAGGAACAGCTGATTTTTTTGGGGGGTTAGGGTCGGGGGGTGGGGCCAAAAATTTGATAGGATGTGTTGCGAAGTGGGTCAATTAGGCGTCCGAAGATTTAGCCAGCCAGAAACACACGAACAAAAGCGAAGTTGATATAAAGGATTTTAAAAAAAATACAACTTATATATATATCGCTTCTATTATGAACGGTGTGGGGGGGAATCGGGGCGGTATGATTAGGTTAGTGCATGGTGTGTCATGGTGACCCTAGCCTTGTCTTCCCCCGAGATATAGCTGAAAGAAACCCTGGTCAGATGACCCTATGCCTTGAACTCTGAGGGCGTGCCACTGTGACGCGTTAGGCAGTGGCCGAGTGTGTGTGTGTGTGTGTGAGAGCGGCCGTCCCAGGGCCCGATGGAGGGAGTAGACCCATGCTTCACAAGATGACGTCGACCCAAGTTAGCCTTACACTTGGATGATAAACATGAAGGACTGCGTTCAGGGCGTGTGCAGGAAATAGTAGACCAACAACGTATGTGGAAGCTTTAAACGGAAAGACATGACAATACAAATACAAATAAAAAAGACAAATACAAATACAAATACAAAGACATATACGATTGCAAATACAAATACAAATACAAATACAAATGCAAATGCAATAAAAATACAAATACAAATGCAAATACAAATGCAAATACAAATACAAATACAAATATAAATAAATACATACCCTAACAACAACGTTTTCGTGTAAATCATCTAGATGCTATTTTTATCTGCAAATATGTGATTGTACGTGATTTATCATTTATGTGATTGTACGTGATTTATCATTTATGTGATTGTACGTGATTTATCATTTATGTGATTGTACGTGATTTATCATTTATGTGATTGTACGTGATTTATCATTTATGTGATTGTACGTGATTTATCATTTATGTGATTGTACGTGATTTATCATTTATGTGATTGTACGTGATTTATCATTTATGTAATTGTACGTGATTTATCATTTATGTGATTGTACGTGAATTTTTATTAATGTAATTTTAAGTCATGTTTCATTTATGTAATTGTAAGTAATGTTTCATTTATGTAATTTTAAGTCATGTTTAATTTATACAATTGTACGTGATCTATCATTTATGTAATTGTACGTGATCTACCATTTATGTCATTGTACGTGATCTACCATTTATGCAATTTGTACGTGATCTATCATTTATGTCCTTGTAGAAAAAGGTCTTGATCACGGGAAAGGTCTTTATCGAACTTGGTGCACGTCAAAGCCAATAGACTGTTATAACATCAGTGCGTCACTTCTGTGCATGGTTTGTCGTTGCTCGTTCGTACATTTTATAAAGGATTTGTACGGAAATCTTTGTCTAAAGGTTTGTCTATATACAATGAATTTTTTTGCATGATGCAACGCAGCAAAGCTCAAAAAAACATGCCATAAAAAAATTTATAAATATATTACGGATTATTATTTTTTTTAAGTGTTGGGGTGGGGGGGGGGCTATACAAATACCAGGATAAAGGATCCAGATCCCTAGCGGGTAGCTGGGGGGGGGGAAGAAAAATCACTTCTGCTGTTTTAATTAGATCGATTGAGAAAGAAATTAGATTGGTGTAAGACTTTGCCAGATCGATGAGGGCTGCTACTAGTTACGAAAAAGTTGATCTACGAACATAGACCGAATTGTGCAAAACAAATTACATTTTTTTTTTATATAAAACTGGTTGAAATATAGACAAAAGAATTTCTTTATGCGCAAAATTCACTGAAAAGTATGCTTTAAGCAGATTCAAAGACTGAAAAGCTACGAAACAAACCTTCAATCCAAAAGAAAAAAAA